AAACAAAGTGAAGATAGGACTCTGAAAACTCTGAAAACATCACAGACAGTGGGACTCGGGTGTTACACCCATTGTAGACAGTCATGACTCACAGAGTTAATTTCAGAGGAATACTTGATTTATATTAATTTAGTGTGAAAAATCACATATAAAGCCTTTAAGGTCAAATCTATGAATGACACAACCATGAGATCTAGGAATGAGACCCCTGTGAGACATTTCAAAGAAGTCGGTCTGTAAAGATCTTTGCACAGTTTTCTGACTGAGCAGGTGTTTGTAAGGTTTGTCAGTTTGGACTGCAGCTGTTTTTTCCAGTGGTCTAATTTCACTGAGTAGGACAGAATTGGGGGACATGGGGAACTTCCAGTGATGGTCAAGCTCCTGATGCCTCTGTGTGTCTTTACATGTTTTTGTATACATACACGTCACCTTTTGTCCGTGTGTGTGTGTGTTATTGTGTGAAAATATGCATACACACATTCATGCAAAGAATGAAAGTTCCGCTGCAGAGCACTCTGGGAACTGGAGGGGGGTTTTTCTAACACAAACACACAGAGAGGGATGGACCCCACCGACGCACTAATGCGGGTGCAGAGGGGTTAAAACAACAGCCGTGTGAATGCCCGGCACGCACACGAGAAAATAACCCACAAAGCCCCGTCAACCCTCGACTCTCAGAGCCCCGGAGCTCACTGTTTACAACAGCATGAAAAAGCAGACGCCGCGCTCGGCTCAGGTTTCAGAGTCAGAGACTATTTCTGACCTCGCTTTGACTGATACTCAGAGGACACGAGGAAAGAATGTCTCTGCTGGTGCATTTTTTATAGATTTACACTTTGTCTTCATACCTTTGAGTTAAATTTAATGGTGATAAAAAAAGTGTTTAGATATCTAACACCCGGTTCTCCCCTGTCAGGACGAGGCAGGTGTGCGATTAAAAAAATAAAAACCTTTGCTGCTCTTTTAGACTCTTTGTCAGAGACTCAATGCACAGCACCTTTTTAAGAGGACTTTATTCTGTGATGTCACTTTGATTTATTTTGTACCTATCATTCATCCACTTTATTATCTTTCCAATTTCTCTCTGCATGTGTGTTTTCATCTGATTATTTATTTCACATAGATGTCTGAACCAAGAGACAACCTCTGGCGTTAAAAATGGAAGAACCTGGAGGGTCCACTTGACTTGTTAAAATTGACAACAGAATTAAAAAAAAAAATTACAGCCTGTTTAAAAAAAACAATTTTTAGCTCTCTTTATCGACATGTTGAATTAGCGTTAGCAGTCAGTAAGAGGAATCTCTCTAATTGGCTGTTCTGAGGTTTCATTTTCTCCAGCTCTCAGGTTCAGTAAAGCCCCTTGAGCATGCCGCTGTAGTCTCTATGCTTTCACCCATTAGTGCGGTTTCTCCTTATTTGTCTCCTCCGTCTCTTCTTTTCTTTTTCCACTAAAAGACCAAGACCACTAACCATTTTCTACTTTTTATCAGACATTATTCTCCATTAGTAGCTACCTATAATACGAGTGGTGACCGACAGCGGTGTGAAAATGGTCTTCTCTTACCTTAACAACAGACTACCGCCCCCTGCTGGCATGGAGAGTTATTTCCTCTCATGCATGAGCAGAACGTGGTGGTTGGCCGTCGGCTGTAGTCTTTGTGATGTGTTCAAGTGCAACTTTTTGGCCAAGATCTGAGGCGACATGAGGCGACGCCACAGTCTGCCTTTCGTCGCCACTAGTTCTTCTGCTTGGTGAGTCAGGGCCTTAAGATCCACCTCAGGTCCAACTCTTAACCTGTTTCCTGGTTGATTGAAAGTTAGGTTGAGACGATGTCTTTTATCATGATTAACGTGCTTTAAAATGCCACTTCAGTAACCAATGAGTGACATCACTGAGACTACGTCCATGTTTTATACAGTTTATGGTCTGAGCATCATGTTTGTCGTTGTTTTATTAGAAATGTGCTGAAAAAACAACTGAAAAAAAAGCATTAAAAAAGATAAAAAAGTGCCACACTTTTCATACAATCAAAGAGAAGAAGATGTGAACGCTTAATGACAACATAATGTGCCAAAGAAAATGTCAACATCGCTAAGTGAAAATGAAAACCTCCCATAGGATGAGTATAAATGACACATCTCAAATAGTTCACAAATGAATCCTTTTATTGCCATCTGCTCCAACACACAAACAAAACAGTTTAAAAAAAGAAAGTACGAAAATAAATAAACAAAGCAGAAACAGTAACGGCTAATAAAGAGAATAACGTCATGTAGCTTCAGTTCACATAGTACAGTCACTTTGCTTGGTTCATTCTGTACATGTGCCCTCATATTAAATGTTAATAATTAATGATTTAAGTTTTTTAAATCTTCTTTGGAGTTTTACAAATTAAAAAAACACACATGTATATATATTTTAAGACTTTACACAAGACAAACTAACCTCGAAATACTTTTTTTTTCAGTGTAAATTGTGGTCACATATTCTCCTCCTCTTCAACAAGTTCCAAAAGTCTCAGAGCTCCTCAAAACATGTGTGTGAAGTTCTTGTTCTAAATCCACTCTGATCCTGTATTTGATCATGTCTATAAACCCCTCTATTTCAGCCCTGCTCAGAACAGGCTGTTTCTGTGTCTGTATCTTTAAATATGTAAATGAGCTGTGTCTGACCACGTCCCCTCTCTGGAAGGGATTGGGTGTTCTCTGGCTTTCTCACTCCATGTCCTATTGGTTACGGTGAGAAGGCAGACTCAGAGGGTAGAACAAACACCTAGCTGTGGGAGTGTCACCCACCTGGGGGAGGGGCTACTGCCCTTTGTGATGTCATGAAGGGAAAATCTCCAAACGGCCTGTTTGAGCACACATTTTCTGAAAAGTGGAGCAGCAAAAGACGGAGAGGATGGAGGATGGAGGATCATTGTGGGGTTTGTAGACAGACTAGGGACACATATTAGTGTTAGAGAAACATGGGGAAGAGGATTTTGAAAAATATGTGGCCTTTAATAGCATTGCTAAGACCTCCTGGAGGTGCCAAAGATGAGGCTCAAAACCAGGGCGATGGCGCTTTTTCAGTTTCCAATACTGTGGAACAGTTTATCTCTTCTCATAAGATTTAATCCCCTAAGTTATTTATTGGTCCTTTTTGCTTTTAATTGGAAAGGACAGCTGAAGAGCGACAGGAACCATTGGGAGGAGAGAGCGGGGGATGACCTGCATTAAAGGGCCAGGGTCAATATTAAATCCTCAGCCGCTGCGACTAGGACTATAGCTTTGCACATAGGATCAACATAACCGCTAGGCTATTGGCGCTCCCGAGCTCTCTGGCTAGCTTCGACTGTTTTTAACCCATGATGAAGACTAATATCTCTTCTGTTAGGCTTTCCCTTCACATCTGAATTTCTATCTTTTATTAGAGGAGCGGAAATAAAAAATAACTTATATTTAGTGCATTCCATTCTTACACAATGTAAATGACACTTGACCTAAGGCCTCAGGAGGAGAGAAAGTTATAACAGAAACATAATATGTACATACTGATGGCAGTGCAATCGCCTCAGGGGGGAGAAAGAAATGAAGACGTGACAGAAGACAGGAAAACCGGTTTCTGGAAGTCAAATGTCACATGCCTCACTTATCATAGAAAACAACAGATTTGAATGTGTCTCCTCAAATGACCTGAATGCTGTGTTTGTACAGTTTTATGAACACATTAAACATTTTTTAAATAATAGAGAGAAACTGATAATATGTCCATCATTAGGCTTATTGTAATTATCTTATTAAAACAATAAATATGACTGACTTATCTTCATTTCTCCATTTGTTCCCTGTGAAATATCACCATCCTGACAGCATGCTCTTGTGCTCTTGTGATGTAAATTACTGTGCAAAAGTCTTATGCCACCACTGTTGTTTTTGCACAGTTATAATGACCATCCAGATGTATTACTCAGTCTCTCTTTATGAAGATACAAGCAGGAAATGCAGGAAACAAAACACAACTTTTAGAAAAGCAAACAGCTCCTGATGACAAAATGCCGTATTCAGTGTTACACTTTGCACCTAGCACATCTTGAACTCTTTTGGGTGCACTTTCATGAAGTTGACTTTAGTAATCTTCTGGTATATTACATCAGGCTTCTTTCAGCACTTCCCAGATTCTTATTTAGATTAAAGCTTCCTTTCCCTGTCCAGGTGATCCCATAATGCCTCTGTCATATTCAGGTCTGGTCTCTGTGGAGCCAGTTCATGATTTCCATCCATCCATTATCTACTTTACTTTGCCCGTTCGGGGTCACGGGGAGCTGGAGAGGATCCCAGTCAACCACAGGGCTGACATATAGAGACAGACAACCAGCCACACTCATTCACACCTATACAGAGTAATTAATGAACCTAACGAGCATGTCTCTGGACTGTGGAAGGAAGACAGAGAACCCAGAGAGAATCCACGCTCCTGTCCAACAGGGATTCTAACCTGAAACCTCCTCGCTGTTGAGGCGACAGCGCTAACCACCGCACCACCATGCAGCCCCCACAGTAAGTGACTTTCAGAGTCTAGTCAGCAGGTTTTTCCTCCCCAATAATTATTTCACTGCATTAGAAGTGAGCTGAGGAGTATTTTTTTTCTCCCTGTTCTCTTCTTCTTTTCCTCCATCTTTTTATGATGGCCACATTAACACTAAACATTTTATTCTATTACTTTTATATATATAAATATATCTAAAATATTCTTCTTTCCATTAATGTTGACACATATATATCTATTTTCTTTTCTTTTCTTTTCCTCTCAATTATCTTCAATTTTGTTTCTGTTTATTTTTCTTGCTACTTCCCACTCAGCCACTCACTGTGCCACACACACATTCACACCATTCTTATACACTACTTCAACTTACTACTTGACTTTTATTATATCTACTTTAATTGTATTTGTCTTTGCTAATGTTTTGCGTATTTTGATTTTGTTTTGTTTATTTCTGTTTTGCCTGTTTTTGTTTATTTGCCGTTGCTTTAATTGTCACGTCTATGTGCACATTTTTGTTTTGTGTTTGTTCACCTTATCACAATAAAAAAAAAAAAAAGTGAGCTGAGGATCGTTGTCATGCTGAAAAATAAAAACGTGTCCAGTCAGGCACTTTGCAAAAGGAATGGCATGATGACTTGCAGTAAAAAATGCAAAACTAACAAAACTAACGGTGGCTTAGGCTTTTGCACAGTACTGAAAGTCTATATTTAAGAAACACATACTGAATTACAGTGAACTATATTAGCTTCAGCTTCCTGTAGAAAGTGTGAGTGTTTCCTGTAAGAGGACCCTGTGAATTCACAGGGGTCAAAAAGGTGATTTACTTCATCTCTCAGTAATTTAATGTCAGTGTCATGCGTTCATGGTGATGACTTTGATGCCGTGAGCGTTGATGTAGGTGAGGAGCACCCTGACCCGCCTCTCGATGACGTCGATCAGTTTGTCGATGCCCTGCCGGCCGCCTTGGCTCTCCCAGTACGTCTGGTCCAGGAACAGGGACTGCAGGAGCTTCTCCCTCAGCTTCCTGCTCCTCAGCACCGACACAGCCTGCTCAGGAAGCCTGCGAGGACAGACAGTGAGTCACACATAACAACATGAAAATTGGTGTACATGGCTCAGACCTGCAGAGATTCATCTATGTTGTTCATAATGTTCACTGCCCTTATAGCATCCTGTTTTTAGAGTGAATGATGGTGAGAGAACAGCTAGATAAAACAGGCTGTCAAGAGTGTATTCACTGCAACTTTATCTTGGTTGTTTAGAAACAAAGATTTCTCATCTGTCACTATGGAGAAAAACGGCAAACAACAACAGCAGCTGTGCAGAAAAAGAAGAACAAGGACCAATGCCATGAAGTTATGTGCCGTGTGTGGGTGCAATGCTATGCAACAAGATAAACAAACTTCCAATAACTAACAAAAAGTACAAGCTGAAAGTTAGGACTTCTGGTATTATTTTCTGACCTTTTAACAGTTTACATGTGGGATAAACTCTCCTGCAGAGGTGACAAATACATGCAGACAGTAGTCAGGTTAGGGGTTTTCATCAAGGTGTTTTCAACGAGAACAAGATAGATCTATGTTTAGCCTGAAAGCCAGCATGTGCACATAGTTATGAAAGAAGATAACTAGAATACTGTGGCTTTGCCTCACTGAGATCCGAGTGGATTTAATGAACACCTGCAGACGAGTTCGGCCTAATAGCTGCACACAATCATGAGGACTCTGAAGATGTTTGCAGTAGTAATGAGACTTTGTTGTGTTTTTCTAAAGCCGCTCTTCACATAATCAGTTTAAAATGTGCCTTGAATAAAATGTCAAACATCAGTTAATTTCGCCTTCATGAAGGTTAAAGGCTTTATATGTGATTTTTTGATCCAGCAGATGTCGCCCTTGAGCACCAGCATGAAACCAAAACAACTCGCGCTGCATTGTTGTGTTAGCATGCTAACGCTAGCGATCTTTATTATGCTCGTATCTTCACACTGCATGTAAATTTACCTGAAATGAGCGTGATCTAGAAACACAGTTAAGCAGTGAGTACAGTATGTTATTCTTCTTTTCTCTAGTCCCTCAATTAAACAACTTTTATACACGAGGGGAGGAGTCAGCCGGCCGTCCGGCGATGTAAACAAAGTGAAGATAGGACTCTGAAAACTCTGAAAACATCACAGACAGTGGGACTCGGGTGTTACACCCATTGTAGACAGTCATGACTCACAGAGTTATTTTCAGAGGAGATACTTGATTTATATTACATTTAAGTGTAAAAAATCACATATAAGACTTTAAAGGAGCCGTCAGATCTGACGAGAATTCAACACAAGATCATAGAAAGATCTGAGGGCAATGACATCTGGGATCTTCCAGCCTCTGGATATATCTGATCACAGCTTAATTTAGATTCATGTCGACTTTATATCCGATTTGCAATGCAGATGAGAAGCTGAATTTCTTAATAAGGACCAAAGGGGATCCATATTTCAGGACCTCTTACATGAGTCCTCCTGCCTCCCCTCGTGATGTGACTCAATGATTTATTGATTAAAAGGTGAAAGCAATGTCTGTGCAGTGTGGTTAAAAAAATACAGATCAACACAGATCTGTGGGGAATAAACAGAACGGAGATGTCAACATGCTCCCGATGCTCATGTCCTAAACGCACAACGACGTCGTTTAACCAGATGTAAATATTTACCAGGATTTCTGTAACACTCTGCGCCTAAAGAAACAGAAAACTGATCTGAACTTACTCTTTGATTCCCTGCAGAAGCCTGAAGTCAAGGTTGTCCTCGTTCCGGTCGAAGAATCCCTTATTGTTGGTGAAGACCAGGTGTCTGGGGTCATGACCTCTGTGGACGATGTTCGCCAGTGGTATGTTGTTCTGGTCGACACATTCAGCATGGCGTCCGAGTTCGACACACAAATCCTCCTGCCGCGGCCTGAACCCACAGCAGCTCTGATCCAGGCGGTGGTGAATCTGACCAAAGGAGAAAAATTATGTTTTTCGATCTATTAAGTTTACAACTACAGTTTTGACATATGACATTTATGAATTTTAAGATTAGATTCATGGAGTAACTAAAAGACCTGACATGAAAAAAAACAATCTTTAAAACAATCATTTTGGGGCCAGCAGACAGCCGGGAGACCGATAAATCATATCCAGAAGATTTCCACCTTTGTGCCCCGGTTGTTGTTTGCAGTCTGACTTTTTTTTTTTTTTTAACTCAAGCATGAGAATGGTGTGGGAGGTGAGAGACAACATCTCCAACTGGAACAATGTGTGTTTATAGAGATTAATAAAAGCTGTAAGACGATTGCTCATGGGCCCCCGGATTGCATTTCAGCCCATGTGTCATCCCTTTTTTGCCCTTAGATGGGATGGTCTGTCTTTTTAGGACAAGAAACTCACCACAAATACAAAGCTGAACACTTCCTACAGAGTCTGCATTCACATGTGAAATCTGTTGTTTTCCACTTCCTGTTTGGCCTGAATGCTGATTTTATATCAAGATAACTTTTAGACCTCTGGACGGCTGCCTGATATGACTTCCTGAGCCTGTGTGGGAGTCTCCTCTCATTTAATCCCTGCTTCCTCTGCAAGGTCTGACAACCAATAACCCCAACTACAGCTTCATCCTCTAGCCTCTTTGTGCTCAAACATATGACTGACAGGCTTGAGGTTGTAAACATTAAAGTCAAGTACACAGATTGAGAGAGGAGTGGAGATTACATGCCACTCACAGGCGGCTTTATGAGAAAGCTTGGAGTGACATGGGTCGATGAGCATCCACTAAGGCATGAAGTGTGACAGCTGAAGTACTTCCAAGATAGCTGTCAATCTAGCCAACAATGCTGTTTTGTAAGCCCTGATATCTCAGGACAAAACCTTCACATTCTCCAAACTTCATCTGAATAACGACAAATATAAGTCTTTTCACACAGGCACAAAACTCCTGAAAATGCCTCTACGTTTTTGGGGTGAGCTTCATGTGGGAACGCGAATAGCTGACATTTTTCACCCTGACTTTTTGGACTTGCCAGCTCTGTAGAAAATTTCACTCTAGGCGTTAAGTGAGCTGTTGTGAGAACGCAGCAGGATATTTTCAGGAAAATTCACCCCGAGTGAGTGTGAAGGTGTGATGACTTTTACGCCTGCTAACTGTTCGATCTTCATGCACATCATGAAGCTGCTTCATACTCTTTCCTGCTCAACAGAATGTCCTTCCTCTTTTGTTTATTACTGTGAATACGTCCAATTATATAATTTTTCCTTTGTCCACCATCTTGGATATGTTGTAAGGATGTGTTGTAAATGTTGTGACCGCCACACTTAACATTTTTTAAGTCTGGTCTTGCATCCTAAATCCCCTGAGTTGAAACAACCACTCGGGAAGATTTCACACAGAAGAAGAAGGGCTGTGGCGTTAAAAAGAAAAAAACAGCCATCTGTTCCTGCAGGGGGATCTGGAGGCTCATCAGCAGCAGCCGCCATGTTGGAAATCTGTCTCAGTCTAACTTTCAGTCTACCTAATGACAGGCTGAGAGCTGGAGCTGAGGCGGGTTTAAAGCCTCTACATCGCGCCCACCTGTCAATCATGTCAGCTACACGCCTAACTATGGATAACACGTATCGTTGATAAAAATCAAACAGAGTCGTTCACCCTCCTACAGTGTGTGCTAGTGATGACAATAACTAATCAGACATATTTAGTTTTTTGAACCAGGCTGTAAACATGTTGATTTATGCTATAAAAACTGCTTTTTTTCCAGTCATGTGTATGTGACTTCCAGTGTTCCAGGAGTCAGCCTCTAGTGGACACTCGAGAAACTGCAGGATTTTTCACTTCTGCATTGGCTTCATTTTGAAAATAACCAACCAGGCACTCTCTACAAGAACAGAACGTTTTCTCTCTCATTTCGATGCAATCAGAGATGTTTTTTTTTGTTAGCAGAGACAGCTTCCCTCTCCAGCAGTGATTGTTGTCATTTTGATGTGCACATGATTCAGGGGTCAGTTGAGGACAAGAAAGTAAACTTTCTCAGACATGAAAAGTTAATGAACTTTACATCATGTCTTCTAATATCTGTTTTATATTCCCTGTTGAATCTCCTTCTCTTCCCTGAACAATGCTTCAGTACATTTCTTATGACTTACTTTTTAAAGGACCTGAAATCAGAATAATGAATAATGTGACACCACGAACCCAACAAACTTTAAAGCTATCCAAGTATTTCTCATTCTTTTCACATTCTATGTCCACACTGTGCTCTCTTTGCTTCTTCACAATAAGAGGACAAATCAAAGAATCCTCCGGAGACGTGTCCTAAATGCTAAAGTCTGAGATCCAGGCTACCCACACAGGAAACAAGACATGTACTCAGCCAAGAGCAATACCTCTGACAATATTGAACCTAGATTTTTTTTTATCAATAACAGCTGTAGGGGAATGTTGTAACAACATCATGTTTGCTGGAGTCATTACTAAGCGTTTCAGTAAAGCCTGAGGATGCTGTTGTTGCACAAAGGCAAACCAAAGCACAGAAAGAGATTTAAGTTTTATTTTTTTACCTGTAATAAGAAGTCAAACAGAGCCAGTTTACTCCACTCGTAGTGATGAGCGGTGGAGCAGCCAGAGTCGGGCTTCGGGATGATGTTTATATGCCAGCACCTCTGTTTCAGGGAGCTCTGGTACGCCCCCCACGTTAACCTCAGGGTGGATGAGCCTGCAGCAAGGCCTTCTGGGTAGAGAGATGCATCCCATGACACCACTGGACAGGGCTGGCCGTCTAAAGAGGGAGGATAAACGGATTATACGATCAGGTTTCAGCAACTGGTCAGTCTCAGCGAGTCTTTTTTTAAAAACCTATTTTTATCCAGGAAAAGCTTACGGAGCGATGCGTTGACGCTCTCCTGAAACATCTGCAGAGTTTAAAGGCTTTTTTTTTTTCCACACTTAAATATAATATAAATCAAGTATTTCCTCTGAAAATAACTCTGTGAGTCATGACTGTCTACAATGGGTGTAACACCCGAGTCCCACTGTCTGTGATGTTTTCAGAGTTTTCAGAGTCCTATCTTCAGTTTGTTTACATCGCCAGGACGGCCGGCTGACTCCTCCCCTCGTGTATAAAAGTTGTTTAATTGAGGGACTAGAGAAAAAAGAATAACATACTGTACTCACTGCTTAACTGTGTTTCTAGATCACGCTCATTTCAGGTAAATTTACATGCAGTGTGAAGATACCAGCATAATAAAGATCGCTAGCATTAGCATGCTAACACAACAATGCAGCGCGAGTTGTTTTGGTGCTGGTGCTCAAGGGCGACATCTGCTGGATCAAAAAATCACATATAAAGCCTTTAAACACATGTTTTCCATCTTTGGTTATTCAAGCAGATCATAGTTTCTAATGGTGAGCAGTAAAGTGATGTTTCAAACAACACCAAGGTGTGTTCAAATGTTTCCTTTGCAACAAAAAAGCAGATCAAGTTTCACAATCCACAGCCCAAGCCCGATGTGATACGCTATTTAAGGTTCCTAGGACATTTTAAAAAAGAAAAATCATTTTCACAGTTTTTTCATTCAGAATTCATTTTGAATTAGTGATTAATGAAACCAAAAACAAATTAGACGTCCAGAAACTCTTAGATGTTTTCTTTTCTGACACATGGTATTAAAAAACAATCTTATTTTTGAGTCCAGGTTGGAATAAAATCTGTCTCCTGCTGTTAAAAACCTCCTTATTACAGCCTCAGGAAGAGCTCATTATACAGTTCTGCTGCCCTTCTCAAAGTTTAAGCAAAGTTAGAGTTGGAATTTATAACTTTGAATTTGTTTCATGACTCCCCTTAATACTTTTTTAAATGTTATTTTAGGATATGCAAGACATTGATGTCACAGACGACTGAATATGAGAGGATTTGAGGGCCGTGTCCCACCGTGACCCTGAAAAGGTCAGGGAGGTCAAAAGAGGACTCCCCTCAGTCTCATGGCTCTTTTTGACATGATTTGGAAGTGGATATTGACATAGTTTGATATCTGATGAACAGTAACGTCACTTATATATTGGTCCTTTGAATGCCACTTTATTTTTGATTAGTTCTTCACTTGTTGAATATTAGTCCCTCTGGATTTCAGCCCTGACTCATGAGATCGTGGGAACAGTCGTGCCCACAGGAAAATGTGAATAAAAAGCTCCTGTGTGTGGCTCGATGACACATGGCATTACATGTTTATTACATCCAGTGACTCATGGGCTTCTGCAAAATAATTTCTTAAATTAATTTATATCAGTGACTTTACCTCTCAAACTACTAAATCTCGCATAAAGCTGCAAAGATTCACTTAACAGGGGGAGTGGTAAATTTGTTTTCAATCTAGTTCTCAGCAGAAATGAGTGTAGCCCTGTGGTGTTTGTAATGCATTTTGCAAATGTTTTTGTATAAAAAGGGGAGCTCCAGTTTGAGCGAGGAAAACAACTAATTAAGTTAGAAAATATCACTTTTCTCCTGGAGGTAAACATCCATCCCCTCCTCTGTGATGACAGTCATAATTTACTTTTCTCAATGTATCACCCTATGAGCAGTGAAAGCTACAGGCATTTTGGTTCCTTATTTACTGATTGAAATGTGGAAAAACTTCCTGCCACTGTTCTGTTGCCATACCGTGTAAGAAGCTGAACTTTCTGCTGACAGCCGGCAGCGTCCTGTTGAGCCCCAGCACCCTGTCCAGGTGGAAAGCGAAGACCTCCGTGTTGTCCACGGGGCTGTTGATTACACCACACTGCCCTCCACACACACCGACTCTGTCTGCGAGTTGTTTGTCGGATACTGAACCACTAGCTTCCCCCTGAAATATCAGAAGTGACGGAGAGACTCCGTGGGAAACTTCTTTGATGCGCAAAACTTTGGCATCCGCGAGAAAGCGCATGGCTTCCACGTCCTGCGGGCTGAGCCATGGCGGTGCCCTCTGGCTGTAAATTCGGATAGAACTAATATGAGAGTCAGCAAAGTTAAAATCGTTTATTAAATCCAAAGATTTATAATCAACATCCCGAGTTTCTCCCCAGGAAGTGTTGCGTTCAAAGTTGCTCTTAATTTGTCCCGCGTCCTGCTCCAAAGTGGAAAGTTTGTTCTGCGTAAAAGCTGAACCAGCCGTGTTATTCCTCCTTACTTTTCTCCTTAGTTTTGGTCTGATTGTACCCCGGATATTTGCCGGTTTCAGCCGCTTAGTCTTCAGCGTTATGTACACTACGTTAGACCGTGTTGGGACAGAGTCTTGCAGCGCATCACCAGTTTCTAAGTTGTACAATCCACGGGTGTGTCGGTACTTGTCTTTGTCAGTCCTTCTCTCCTGGTTTTGCTGCGAGAGCCCAAACTCCGAGACTACAAAAAACAAATAGATAACACAAATAATCCCAATGATCAAAGTCCTTTTGGAAAGAGGGCATCTCCGAAAGCTGCCGGTCAATCTTAGACAAGGGAAGCAGAGCCAGTGAAAGCGAGACTTCCCCATTAGAACTAATGATATTATCATGGTTGAGTGTCTTTATAGTGCCAAACTCAAACCAGGAGGAGCGCTCTCAACTTCGGAAACTCATTTTGGAAGGGAGGATTTATGGCCACATTTGTGCACACAGTGAGCATGGGATGGACAGGCTGGGAAACCACCCTCCAGCCCAGCACGGGGGGGATTTGATTTTGTGTGTTTGTGTGTTTTTGTTTAACTTTCCTTTTCATGATAAGTTCTAAATAGTGAAATGTATTTGAATAACAATTCGGCTAACTTATAATGTAGCCTATGCTGCAAAAAATAATTTAACACCTCTGGAAAAATAAGTTATTTATAAATGTTTCTACCAAAGAACCAAGCCACTTAATCAAAAGTACAAGGCCAATAAACACTGGTGCTCTTCTTTTTATTTGTATTTAGGATAACCTCTCATATTACCTCTAATCAAAATGTTTAGCCTCTATTAGTATTGTGATGTTTTAGCATTTATTGCCAAATTATCAAAATAAATATACCTATTGTTTGCGTTTTTAATATCTGAATAAATGTGAATACTGAGGTTAGAGGTGAAGGTGATAAGTCACCTTGATCCTTTAGAAATCCGGGTGTTTAAGGCGACACCTGCTGGTCAATTTGCATAATTCATAATTGGCTAAATGACAGATCTTCACGTATTAGAGGCTAGAAAATGATAGAATAAAATAGAATAGAACAGAAAGGAAAGGGAAGGAAACAGATAATCTAACAGCAGGAAACGAATGACTCATCCTGTTGTAGGGAAATGCCAGCAGACCATACAGGATTTCCTGAGCTGAATATAAATAGGTTAAATATAGAACTATTGTGTTCTGGTCCTTTTAAGAGGACTGATGATTACAGAAGCACACACTGTAAAAAACAAACAAAAAAAACCTAGTTGCTATAACTTAAAAAAGTTAGTGTCCGAGCTGCCTTACAATTTTAAGTTAACTGAACTTAAAAAGATAAGTTGAGACAAATTTGTTATTATTCCAAAGAAATACAATTTTCTAGTCAAATAAACTTGACATCAAGGTTGTACGCCCTCAGGTCTGTTTCTTTATCATGTAATATTTATTGCGACGTGTGCTGCTGCGCTCTTGGCCAGGTCACCCTTGTGAAAGAGATCTTGATCTCAGTGAGTTATTACCTGACACAGGGCAGCTCTTCTCCCAGACTTGACTAGATCCCGGAGTCCCAATCAGATCCAGTGGACAGAGACGGCAGTGGCAGCTTTCAGTGATATCCAGCAATCACTAAGTAAGCAACCTCTTCTGTACAGCCCAAACTTTGAAATTTTCTTCTGCAAACTGATGCTTCTTACAGGAGTTTGGGTTTTTGTGTTACTCCAGGGACTTCAGGATGATCGGCATCCAGTCGCCTACATCAGCCGGAAACTGTTCACCAGAGAGGTTCGATATTTGACGGTGGAGAAGGAGGCACTGGCTATCAAGTGGACCCTTGATTCCTTCCAGTACTACCTTCTTCCTCAAGAGTTCACCTTGGAGACAGATCACAAGGCCCGTTTGGTTTGTAAACTTGGTTTTCTATTTTTGGGTAAAATAAAAACCTACCTTTTCTTTAAACTTACTCCTGTGTCTCGTGCCTTACTGCTTGGTCCCTAACAGTCCCCCACAAGAGAATCCTTCTCACCAGGGTAAGAGTGTTTATAAGGCACACTACAACTGCATGAATGCATTTTGTGCATGAAGTCCTCTCTGAATAGATAGTTGTGAATGCTGTGGGTCTGGTTTTAAGCAAAATGTTTGGGTTCACATGAAAAACTATGCTGAGGTTTCTGTACTGCTCTGAAGAGAAAATAATATTATATGTTCACAGTATATTATAAAATGCCCATTGTTTCACAAATGCTCATCTTCTCTCTCCAGATGCAATCGTAAAACATTTAAAGCCATCCCCGGGCCGTCTGTGTCCACTTCTGCTCCCTGCACTGTTTGATATTGCTTGTTCTGTTACACTAGTTATTTGTATTTATTAAGTTATTACCATTTTATTCATGTTTGTTTAGAAGTATTTTTTTATTTTTAAAATAAAGAAATCCACCACAAATCCATGTCGCTATAATAACATTTAAATAAGATTCCATAAATTCTTTATCACAAAATGATGGTGGGTTTAGGGAGGAATGAAGACTTGTAGAATGAAGATTTGGTTTTCTTTCCATTCATTTAATGGTGATGCTGTATACACAATTGCTATTCATCATTTCAAGCCCTCGTGCACTCACACACTCACGCACTGCACGCCTGACGTCAGTTAAATCCATACGGTTTTATCATGCATTCAAGTGCTGTATAAATTATCGGAAAATTGATTTTCCTACTGGGAAAGTTTTGTTGTGGGCTCCCCAATATCGAAATCAAACCTTTGGGGAGGTGGCGTAGAATTCAGTCTTGTGTCGTATTGACAGACTTGAAGCTATATTAGACAGAAACATGGCGAACCAGTTAATGTAAAGCTGATGTCCAGAAACATTTTATAGGCTATTAATCCATTTAGTTAAACGCTCATTCATTTAGGCTTTTTTTTTTTAAAGACTATGCGGATGCCACTGTTTGCTGCCGGTCACGTAAAGGGATGGGATATAAAATAGATAGGCTAAAATCTTCTTTTCACAACGATTCCACATTTCTACTTGAAGTCCCTGAACGCACCGAAGTCGCATGAAAGACTTTCCTAACTTGGGAACCCTTAACATCTGAGCAGCATGTGAGCGCAGGGATGGTGCCTCGGCTTTAGGCTTTGGAAAGTGAGATTGGGCTTTTCATTTTCATTTCGGTCATGTATTCGCTGCAGCCTCTATGTGTCAGGCTCATTGATTGGATAATTGGCGGCACCTGGATGAGAGAAACCCCTCGACCCTGAAGACGCACGGCACGCGGCCTCCTGCTGGCTTTTTACGCAATCAAAGAAAACAAATATTCATTTTTTTAAAATGTTTGAGGCAAAATACGTACCTTTGCTTTTATGTGTCTCTGGGTTATTGATTGTGATTTGTCAGGGCATTGAAAATGGTACTGGACAAGGTATGTAGGCTGTATCTGTGATTGATTTATTGGGAGGGTTTGTTGGCTAATATCAAATAACTTACATGTATGTGTTGCTCTACATGATTTCAGAAATCGAAAATGTTGTATCTGGAGAAATGTGGAGATTTAATTACACTATTAACTCCACCAATATGACTCATTTTGCTTATGGAATTACTGCAAATGTGGTTGCTGTGTTGCTCTATGGAAGCAACCTTGTTCCCGTCAAAAGAATAGAGACAGGAGATGGTAAGCCCGTGAATCTTTTCTAAGATTTTACACTTTATGATATATTTTCATCGTTGTGGTATTACTGTTTCTTGACTCCTGAATGTGGATGTTCCTGTCTTCTGTGTCCACAGGTATGTTTTTTCAGTGGGTCACCTGCGCAGCGATTTGGGTCGTAGCTATGCTCGGAGACTTGATGCTTCACACACCCAAGTTCCATCCTTTTGCGATGCTCGGAGGTTTCATCTGGGCCACAGGTATTTTTGGGAACTTCAATCATTCTTTTAGTGTTCTTTGTGGTTTAGCCCAGGTCGGTTTCAAGAGGATTAAGTTTTCTTAGAGAGTGCAGCTGGATGTTTGGATGCGGAAGTTGGGGATCCAATTTAAAAATTTAAAAAAAAAAAAAAAAACGCTGCTGCTGTCCAACTTCAGAACATGATGCTGATTCTGTTTGCTAAGAGATATGAGAGAAGCTTTGGGGACATTGATGTTTCCTAGTTTCATATTTCAAAGTAAAGTACACTCTACTGCTGCCTCACTGCTGCCTGTCAGTGCTATATTTTTATTTCACCTGTGTTTGTGCCGTAGTTTAGCCAAAATGTGTGACTTGATTTTATAATTATCCAAAACAGGAAACATTTAAATCATGTTCTTCTAAGCTACCTGGTCACTTATTAGTATGAGGTCACAGGGTCTCTCTTGCTGTTGTGAGATGACATCACGTTAAAGCGGTGGTTCTCAACTGGTGTGTCAGGACCTAAAAGTGTTTTATGGAGCCATTTTCAGATTAGTGCCTAGAAATGTTTTAAATCAAAAACTATATGAAGCACTTTGAAGATCATTCTTGGGCTTTTTATGCCTTTTTTTTAGAGATAAGAGACAAAGAGCAGGGAATGACATGCAGGAAACAAGCCACAGATCGGATTTGAACCCGGGCTGCCCGCTGCGAGGACAACAGCCTCCGGTCAATGCGGCGTGCAAACTAACTACTAGCACTATGAAGCACTTTTTAACCACGTTTTTTTTGTTCCGAATAAATCCCATTGGTTGAAAAATGTCAGAAACTTGGGTCGCTATTTGTCATTATGGAGTAGATGTTGAGTCCTGAGGCTAGTCCATAATGAGAAACACTGAATTAAAGAAAATCATGTTGTAAAGCCATGTTAAAGCTCCTGTTTTAGACTTTTCAGCTGGTTAAAAAAAGGACTGATATCAACACTGATTCCTCAAATATTAACTAAAAAAGGAAAAGTGATTATATGATGAATTCTCCCTTTTTCTTTACACAATTTGCCAAACATTAACCCAAAAGTTCCTCACTTAAAAGGAGCAATATGGAACTCTGAAAATTTGGAACTGCAGTCCAAATTAAAAACATTGTAGAGAGCTGTCTCCCACCACCCCCTCCTCTCTAGAGTGGATGCTCACTCAGGTCACCATGTGGTGGACTCTGAAGCTTCAGTGTTTATCCAGCTCTGCATGGGTCTGTAAACCTTTCTGTGTTCTAACCTCTCTCCATTTTTCAAAAGCATCTCCAATATTGATCCTAGTTTGAGCACGTTTCTGCTCGTGGAGCTTATTAGAAACATGCAGAGGCTTTTTAGGTCGGGTACACTCACTTCTATCTGAACCACTTCTCTTGCCCGCTTCCATCGCTGCAACACCTGTTGACCTGATAACTGCTCTCATATCTGGCAAACCGAGGGGCATCCAAAACGGCCGTGTGGGGGTGACTTAAAAGCGCCTACCTTCTCTGGTCCAAACAAATCCAGAGCATTCAGGAGCAGAATCTAAAGTTAGAAGGAGGACATACTGGCTGCTGCATTGTTGTGAGAGAAGCCAGCACTTCAACATAGCATGTTTCCTAAATGTCTGATTTAAAATGTATTTAATGTATTTGTACTCTGCTATTTGTATCATGTGCATGCTTGCTAACTTCTATCCTATCTTTTCTTGCTTCAGGGAATATTCTAGTTGTTCCAATTGTCAAAGCGGTCGGCCTCAGTCTTGGGGTTTTAATTTGGGGATCCTCTAGTTTGTTGATGGGCTGGGCCAGTACGAGGTAAGTGGAAAATAAATGAACTTTCTTTTGCTGACTTTTGATGGATGATGTTCACCGGAACAAAACTTTTTGAGGCACCTAGTGAAGAAGATTGTCGGGCCCTGTAATAATAGCTCTAACCCCATGTCATAAGTAGGAGGGTGGCTTCTTTTTTCTTGTTTTTGCAATTTGTCAAAAAAGAAAATAAGAGTGTTTTTCTGTTCTTCACAGATTTGGCTGGTTTGGGATTAATGCTCAGGATGTCTCCAGGCCTGTATTAAATTATTGTGGAGCGGCGCTTTGTCTGCTCAGGTATCATTTTGGACATAAAGCCTCCCACTTTCTTACCAGTCGAGGAGCTGCTGTTTTCAGCTCTCCTTTTATTTCGACTAAAGTGTTGAATCATCACCCTGACGTTTGTGTTTTCTCCAGCGGCCTCATCTTTTTCTTTGTGAAATCAGACGTGGATTTGCATAACAGTTCTGAAACCATCCCCTTACTTATCGACAGAGTAAGTACATTGATTAGTGGTTTGTTGATCTGTTTTCACCTTTTTAAATCAATGTTATTTCTGACATCATGCTCAAAGACATACTATTATTCTCTCTAGGAGGATCAGTTCCTGCCACTCGGTCTCTCAAAAGTGAGTCGTTCCGACTTCTTGTTTTCTTGCCTTCTACTGACACCAATGTCTTTTTTTAAAAGCCTCTATATTGACATGTTGTTTCTTTCTGCAGAGACCCGTTTCAGGCATCAACGGGCCGAGCTCTACACCGTTCTGGATCGACATAATCGGAACAAAGACCAGGCGGTTCATGTGAGCTCAACAGATTAGCAGTCAGTGAGCTGCGTGTGTACAAATACTGAGCATGCAAGTAGACAAGGAAGGGTTTATGAAACATTGACTTTTGATTAAATAATCAGTAGAAATGCTCCTTAAGGAGAGAGAAATACAGAATGAGATATTTGAAATGAAGCTTAAGGTTTTCACTGGAGGTCTTGGATACAGCTGCAGGCCATCTCGATGATGAATCCTTTAGGAAACTCTTCTCCAAAACATAATTCAGTAAATCATTTCATCATAAATAAAACACTTTGATACCATTTGGGAAATTAGTTGTACCATCAGTATGATAAAATAATCAAGGGGTGATGTAAGCATGCAATTAAATTACAAACAAACACGAGGAAATGAATTCTGCAGACCTGTTGAATGACTCAAAAGTGTAAGTGATGCACAGTCTTCACTGTGGGCTGTTAAATTCTCTGCTCATGAAATGTAAAGTGTTCCCAACATGTAGTGCACAATAATTCCTGAGAATCCATCTTCATTAGTCGTGTATGCAGTGCGCAAATTAAACAAATTCCACTTGATGTCAGTGGCGATTTAAAACCCATCCATCACAGAGCAGTGTGTTTCCTTGGCTTGTGTTCTAGCGGCTGCATGCTGGCCGTGCTCTCCGGCCTGCTGTACGGCTCCTCCTTCACGCCCATCCTCTACATCAAAGCTCGCTCTGCTTGCACTGACTGCATCTTCCAGGGAGCCAGTGCTTTTGGTATGTCGTGCAGTGTCAGGCAGTTTTTAAGCTTCTATGTTGTGATATTAAAATGTTGCCCTAATTTATTTTTAATGCTTTGCTTGATGTGTTTTTATGGTTGTCATGTCTTGTGATATGCTTGTTTTTTTTTCAAGGTTGCACAGAGCTGCTTGTTTTCTCTGCACTTTTGCCCGAAGGCACATTTCCCCCTGAAGTCAATAAAGTAAATTTAATCTAATTAGACTTCTCTAACCTCGGTGTATAAATAACACAGGCTCCTCCAGAGAAGCAGGCTTAATATCCTATTTTTTAAGTTCATTAATGGCAGAGGCATCCAGGATTTAAAAAAAAAAAAAAGAAGAAAAGTCCTGCTGCTCAAATGTGTCTCTTGAGCTTTCTCTCTTATTGATGATATCATGTGAACCCGTTGAACCAACCTGACGTGATTGATTGAACCTTCAAGAAGATTCACTCACTGGTTTAAAAATGTTCAAATCTTTTGTTTTTTTTCCTCACAGACCTGGACTACGTGTACGCACAGTGCTGTGGTATTTTTGTCGCGAGCACATTGTACTTTGCCATCTACTGTGCTGCCATGAGAAACAGGCCCAGAGTCTACTCCAAAGCCATCCTACCAGGTAACACACCACTTATCAGAGAGATACTTTATGGCATCACCAGGATCTTTTGAGTCATTATTGCCCATTTTTAGCACATATACACTCCTTAAACAATGCTAGGAAATGGAACATATCAGGAAGAGAGCCTCTGAAATCTTCCTCAGTTGCTTGTTCAGAAGAAGCAGAGTGGGATTTACTGGTATAACTTCACCAACTATCAAGGTGCATGAAAAGTGAAAGACTTGAAGAGGTCAAAAATCTCCAGCAGCACTTGTAGTATGAAGATCAACTTTATTAACAAATTAGACTGATGCGTTTTCGGCTTGTGGCGTTCCTCAGGGTTCATCATGACCCTTCATACTACGAGTGTTCCTGGAGCTTTTGGACATCAGTCGCCTGTACACACATGTCCCTCACCCACAGGACTGTCAGACGGGAGGGGGGGCGGTCTCAGGAGGCAAGACATGACGTGATAAGAACGATGCAGAAGTGGCAGAAGAAGCGACAGAGTCGGGCACTGTAATGACCATTTGTTTTCATATCATTGCCCTGTGGAGTATAACGCATCCACAAAAGATCTGGCAAAAACAGAAAACATAATGAAGCAATTTCAGTCAGTGCTTGGAGATTGCTCCGGTCCTGCTGCTCGCTTGATGTGAAGTTTATTGAATATATTACAAACTGCTTTCTAACATCTGCTCAACCTGACTCATGCAGCTCACCTCGACAATTTCAGGAAGTTTTCAGAAGTTTTGTGAATGTTCAAGAGCACTATATGACTCAAGTTTAAATCTGTTGTTCACTTAGTTTGCAGGGTATTATTTAGAAGTTTAATTTAATTTAAGAAATTAAATAAGTAGTTTCTTCATGACAAAAGTTGTACTCCTCAGAAGATGGTTATTAACAGTCAGAAACGACCTGATACGAAAAGAAAACACAATAGTGCTCATTTCCTCTCAAATTCTGAATTTCTTGTCCAACTCTAATACTTCTTTCAGGCGGATAATAATCATTCACATGAAACAGCCTGAACAGAAAATCTGTTAATGCCCAAATTCAGACCAGAACTTGTGATAAGGGTGCAGCCAGACTTTTCTCATTCAACGGGATAAGCCAGAAAAGGCTGGAAAACAGAAATATATCAACAACATACTGCTCCCTCAGCAAAACGCACATGTCCCTCACTATGCTTCAGTGTTACACTATCATGCCACCGGCTGATTTTAGTTCTGCAAAGCACACGCTCTCCTGTACTTGATGGACAACCAGAGAGTCTAATGATAGCTCCAGTGTGAGTCAGGAATAATGAGATGAAATGCAGAAGCTTCCTGTCTGCATGTGTGAACACATCCACCCGGGGGGGTTTGTGGGTGTGTTGATCCAGGCTGCTGGAGGCAAACAGCCGACCCAAAACCTGGCAAGGAACAGAGAGCCTGTGAGTTTAGATCAGCCCCCCTGCTTTACAGCTGGCTTTAGAGCGGATCTTTATTTCAAGACTTGCTCCCTTTGAACACACATTTTATAGATTCTTACTGAGAAGAAAACTTTGGGTAGCCAGCCACCGACCACCTCCCCCCCCCACCCTTTAGCTGTTTGTATGTGACCATCCTCATCACGTTTTCTCCTTTTTAACTTTATGTTTTTTTACAACATTTTACCCAGCTGTTGTTTTTGAACATGTTTTAAGGGCACTCTGTTTTCTTCTGCTCCTCAGGTATGTTGTCTGGCGTGATGTGGGCATTGGCAACATACTGCTGGTTCCTGGCCAATAACTACCTGAGTGCAGTTATTACCTTCCCTATCGTCACGGCAGTAAGTAGATCATGTATTCAGAGCACAGCGTGCTTGTCAATAAAATGTCTCTTTATACCAGAGAGACTCCAATTAGCACTTGGCTTGGTGTTGAGGGAGAAATTCCGATATGTTAAAGTTGGGAGTCAAGTGAAACATGTTTTTTTTCAGAGGTTTCAGTTTTTGATCCATGTGGCGATATTTCTGTGTTTTCTGATGAACCTCGTTAGAGTCACTCTGATAACAAGCTGCAAACACAAGCACACCAGCATGGCAAACAGGCCGGTTCATTCAAAGCAAAAAAAACAACAACACATCTAATCATCAAACTGAAAGCAGCATCCAGACGTTACATGATTTATCCTTTTGAGATTCTGTCATTTCTGATCTCTGCTTGTGGAGCTAGATGACAACTTTAGAGTGCATCATTAAATAGCTGATGCACTCGTCACATTTTATCTTGACATTTTCTTTGTACTAGTTTAGCCTGACAGTAGTCCATGAACAATGTCAAAGGGACAAAAAAAGTATTAGGATTTGACTTCTCTGCACCGAGGATAACCGTGAAGTGAGTCTTCATGGAGTGAAGTGTTGGTCAAGGGGGATGTGTAGACCTTTTATAAAAAGGGGGCGTTCTCTCCAGAGAAAAATCACCTCTTGAGCTCCTTTTGATGACAATTACAGTGAAGATGTCTTGACCCAGACTAAATGCTGGATGGGAGAACCTGCTGTTCTTGCACTCTGGAGGCTAAAACTAAGCATTAAGCTTTGTCATGAAAACTTTTGCCACAGTTGAACTTTTCAATCACTGAGTGCGATGAACATTGCAGGCTTTATCGACTGCAGACGGTGTTTTTTGTCAGTTTCATCATTCACATCAACGTCTTTAATGTTGAAGCTGGATGAGTAAGCTGTGTTCTTTAGACTTTATCCATACATGCTTGGTGAGTCATTTAGAGAGTCTAGCCAACAGTCTTCGTTATCACTGCAAAAACATACATTTCCTTTCCTGTCGCTTCAGTTAAATATAGTTTTCAAAATGTAAACCCGCTCTTCTTTGTAATGTTACAGACCTAACATTAGCTCCCTCTGTCTGGCTCCCCTCAGCCTTTGGAGCTACAATTCTACAATTCACTTAGCAGACGCTTTTATCAAAGCGACGTACATCAGAGAGTAAGAACAACACAAGCAAGGATCTAGAAAAAAGGGAACAATGTGAGTAAGAGCAAACGATCAGCTTTGAGTCTGATTGGACACACAGGTGCTGACAGGAAGTGACCAGAGGAAAAGCACAACATTGAGGGCAGTTGTTGAGAGCTCTAATCAGTATAGAAACCATCTTATAAGTCGTCGTTATCAAACAAAAAACCATCGTCATTACCATCATCATCATCAATAATATGGAGACCATCATCATTAAGTTAGTAGGTATTCATGAAAGAGCTGGGTCTTTAGCTTTTTCTTAAAGGTGCAGAGGGACTCTGCAGATCCAATGGAGTTTGGAAGTTCATTCCACCACCGGGGGGCGACAGAGGTGAACTGGCATCACAGTTAAGTTCACTTTTAGTTTACAAAGAAGAGCAGGTTTACATTTTTAAACGGGCTACATTTAACTGAAGCAACACAAAATGAAACGTTTGTTTTTATTGCTTTAAGGTGATGAGTATTTAAGTGTAAAATGAAATGTGGTCATTGTTGTTTTAAATTTGGATTTTATTTTTGCTAACCTCTGAGCCCCAGAAAGTGTCCCTCTTTATCTCCACCTGATGGGCGGCCTTCAGCATAGTTCAAGTTTTTCATGCTCGCCTAGTTAAAACAAATGCAAGTTACTTTCCTGAAGAACATATTGTTACACCTCACCATTAGGCGGCCCTATGTGGCTGATGACAACCCACACGTCGACCCAATGAAGCACATCATACACCTCAACAAAGTCAAACATAGGGCTTTTCATAAGACACAAAACAAAAGACAATAAAGGACTAAACCAACAATCCCTGACTGAGAGGCACCACACCGCAGTTCCACCTCTAAAAGCCTCTCAGCACCGAGGCCAGCTGCACCCCATCGAGTCATCAATAGTAGAGAAAAGCCGAAGACAGCGGAAAGTGGGCGGGGACAAACAACACAGGGAGCAACATACAGTCGTAATGTATATACGTGTAGCCCCTTTGTTACCTCTGAAGGACCTCATTCTTCATTTCTCCTCGCTCTCTAAATAAAGCCGCCCTTCTTTGTTGTGGTATTAAACCTGCACATGGAGATCATTGGCTTTTGACTGAACGACACTAAACAAAGGCTTACACTGTAGCTATTCTTTGGCAAACAATAAGTACATTCATTCTGTTAATGCAACATGTAAACACACAATGCCGCTTTCATCCCCACAAACATCTAGCTCCTAGACATTTAAATATCACAAAGTAAGTTTAAGCATAATAAAACTATACATACCATATGAAATGAATATGAGCTTTCCGTCTCTATCCTCTTTTTTTTTTTCTCTTGCCTTCAAGTTGCAGAAATATTTAAAAGATTCTATGAAGACTAAAATGTGCTTTAATATGTGACACGACTTTGCAAATGTTTTTTTAATCTCAAAGGCAAGATTCATTTTCCTCCCAAGTTTTTAAAGAAAAATCTATCCATCTGTTCTTCTGATCTTGTTTTTTCAAAAATTAAGGAATTTGTAGGAGCAGATAATCAAAGTAACCAAGAGAAACAAGCGGTTGTTTTTTTGGTCTATATAGTCATGTGGTGCCTATGAATGTAAAATAAACAAATGTCATCTTCAACGAGGCCATTTGATGTGGACTTTCTTTTTAGCATCCGACGAGGTAGCGCTTAACGTTTAGACAATCCAGGTGCAGCTCCTCCATGGCTTAAAGTGTCAGCTTAGCCTCTACAGAAGACAAGAACTAATCAAGACAGGAGAAGGATTTCTGAGCATTAAGGCAGCCCTGCTTCAGTTTCATTCTCTCAGTGATTCATTTGGTGCAGGTAGATTGTGCTTATTGGTAAACATAATGTGGGTGATGTGGAAACAGACAAAGTGGAAACAGACAAAGTAAATGATGATATTTGGTTGATTGTGCTCAAACTGTTTTTGTTCCGTCTCTGCAGGGATACGGTCTGGTTGCAGCACTGTGGGGATGTTTGGTGTTTAAAGAGATAAAGGTAAGAATCACTATCCAGCTCTCATGCATTACATATTCCTTTTTTTTTTTTTTTTTTAAAGTGTACAGTTGAAGTTTCAAAATACGCCTCTTGATGTCTTAGCTGGAGACGGCACTGCTGCAAATTTGTAAAAGAAAAAGTTTGATTTAAATTCTTGGAGAGAGACTTTGATTAACGCTGATGTTTGTTTCCCTCAGGGGTTATCCAACTGCTTCGTCTTCTTGCTGGCGTCCTTTGTCGTCCTGACCGGCTCCTTGCTGACGGCCATCTCAAAACTCTAATGTTTGAACGTTTTCTGTACTCACCTTTTTTCAGAGTTCTTCGTTTCACGTTTGGAAAAAAGGAAATGACCTTGGTTTTATAAAAGTGTCAGACCGTGTGGTTGAAACAGACCACCATGCATGTCGGTTGAGATGAATGTAAGCGCTTTTTGTTTGCCGCCTTCTGGAAGCGGACGGGGTTAATACTTTGAGCAGACATTTGGTGGCAGTGTCTTACAGGAACTCTGGTTTGATCTGAGAGGGCCGTTTGCTGTTGAACTCTGAATTTGTTACTGAAAAATGTTTCAACGTTTGTGTTGTTTGAATGTTCTAGTAATTTATTTGTTTAAAGAATATATTTTGTCACATGCTATGTTCAGCTGCTACTAACGGTGTCCATGCATCACTTTTAACACTTTCCACGCACGCTTATTGTCACTGCAGAGGGGGCGGTTCGCTAGACACATTTCTATTTCACTAACGGGGGAGTTTGTTTTCATGTTTCCAGAACAAAAATCAAATGAGTTGTCAGAGGAGTTTCTCTTGTGTTTTTTTCCCCACACATGCTGCTATTAAAAACATCTGATACTGACAGATCTGCTCCTACACACAACCTTTCACTCTACATTGTTTTCTGTATCACGGCTGGCTCTGTGTATTTCTCTTTCTGTCAACATCCCTGTACTTCGTTTTGTTTGGCATGTCTTAGCCTCTTTCCAGCTGTAACATTAAGGCAGTGAGCTCTTATTGATTGGATGGTGTGTGTGAGAGAATATAAACATGTGCTTAAAGCTGACTGTAGAGTCTCCTCTGAATACAAATACACACACACACACACACCTTGGGGGAGGCAGTAGATCAGTCTGCAGGCACTTGGGTTGTGAACACAAGTCATAGACTGTAAATATTAATGGATGAAGCATGAGTGACATCAGCCATCTGTTCCTGCAGGGGGCTCAGAACGGCAGGATGTAAGATTAAGATTTACTTTTATTGATTTATTGATCCCTGCAAGGGGAAATTTCTGTTTTTACACTCTAGTCATGCAACACACACGATCCTCTGGACATGCACTAAGGCAGAGATGTCAGAGTGACGGAGCGGCACACAGTGGGCGCTCCTGAGCTGGTGGTGGGGAGGGGGTGTGGTGCTTTGCTCAGGGGCACCTCGGCAGTGCTCAGGAGGTGATCTGGCACCTCTCCAGCTACCAGACCAACTTCCATACTTGGTCCGCACCAGGACTTGAACCTACGGACTGAGCTACTGCTGCCCCATTTTTTGCACTTCCGCAGTGGCTTCATTTTCTATTTTTTAAGACTGTAGGTTGCGGCTTGGTTCATTTCTTGGTGTGGACCAAGTCTGGAAATTTATCTGCTAGATGGAGTGGTGCCAGTTCACTTCCTGAACACTGCTGCAGTGCCTTTTAAGCAAGAAGAGCTCTGGTGCTCTTTCATGTGAAGCCCCTCATTCTGACATCTCTCCATTAGTGCATGTTCATAGGATCCTATTTGTGTGTGTATGTCTCAATAGCAGAGTGTAAAAGTAATTTCAGATGGTGGGATTAATATATATACATGTGAGGCTTCGTCTTTATCACACAGATTGTATTTATGTTACCCAAGATTATATCACACTAAGAGTTGAACCAATTACTCCACATAATCTGCCAGTAGTGTTTTTGTGTGTCCTTTATTGGACAGGAAATGTTGGCAGGAGGGAGTTGGGGGTGAAATGCAACAAAGGGCCGAGTCGAAGTTCGAGCCCAAATCCGCTGCAACAAGGATTATAGACTCTGTACATGATATGCTCCATATTCAATGTGTTAATGAGATGTTTCATGCAGATGAGGAACAGATGTCTGTTCTGTTTGGAAGTTTTGCCCACAAACAGATGGATCCTAAGAAAAGTCATTTCAGGTAGTTTGGTCATTAAATCTCCTTCAAAAACAGAGATGATTCAATAAGCTGCTAGATGGATCCGATAAAACATGATATGCATCCTGCAGGGCTGAACTTTTAACTCTCGGAAGTTATTTCATAAACGATATCAAAACACAGTTATGATTTCACACCTCTTCTCGTCAAACAAGAAGAAGCTTAACTTGTGGTTTTCCATGTTTAATTCATTGTTATTTTCACAAAGTTTATTTTTATCTAAAGCATCAGAAACTCTTCTTGGTCTTTCCACTATAGTCTGAATGCTCTAGTATTATTTGTCACTACTTCCCCTTTCCCTTTTCCCCTCTGGCTACACAATCAGTGCTGATTGACATCAACGGTCTGAATACTTATTTCCCTGAGTGGGAAGGTGAAACCACAAAGACCTTGATTTATAATCTCTGAAATAGAGACAGATTTCACTCCTACTGAGGTTTAATCAGCATTGTGTGAAAAATGCCCCGTAGTCGTGGTCTCATATGTGTTTTTTTGATCCAGCAGATGTCGCCCTTGAGCATGAAACCAAAACAACTTGCGCTGCATTGTTGTGTTAGCATGCTAATGCTAGCGATCTTTATTATGCTGGTATCTTCACACTGCATGTAAATTTACCTGAAATGAGCGTGATCTAGAAACACAGTTAAGCAGTGAGTACAGTATGTTATTCTTCTTTTCTCTAGTCCCTCAATTAAACAACTTTTATACGTGAGGGAGGAGTCAGCCGGCCGGGCGAGCGATGTAAACAAAGTGAAGATAGGACTCTGAAAACTCTGAAAACATCACAGACAGTGGGACTCGGGTGTTACACCCATTGTAGACAGTCATGACTCAGAGTTATTTTCAGAGGATATACTTGATTTCTATTACATTTATGTTTGAAAAATCACATATAAAGCCTTTAAAGCATCGTTTCCACCAAGCGGGCCGGTTTGTTCAGCTCAGTTTGGTACAGTAAACTCTGATCTTGCTTGCGTTTCCACACCATACCCTTATACATTACTAAATCACAGCAGTGCGACAAAGTGTAGACAGCCAACAAATTCAACGAAGAAGAAGAACTTGACCCAGTAAACTAAGATCAATGACTCCTAGGAAGGTCTGCATCTCCGAGGTCGTCCATGGGCGGAGCTACGTGCTGATAGTAGTCGCAATATACAAAAACAGCCTTAAAATGACTCTCACCATCTAAACTTGACTCGTTTTGTGTTTGTCCTTTAATACCTGCTGTCACACAGGAAGT